CGCCCCCATCACTGGAAAGGAAATTTCCTCAAAGTTGCATCTGTAATCTAGCCTACAATAGAAATCTCAGGGATTTCAAGGTCAAGTCTGGGAACCTCACTGCCACTTATCAACAGGGGATCCTCTGTTGTTTGAGCAGCCTGTTCTACTTCCTAAAATCCTGGGAACACACCAGTTTCTCCCAACCCCATTCTTGGAGATGGGACCGAGCCAATCCCGCTATCCTGAAAATACCGGATCTAATTGGACTTTGGAGAAGACATTCGTGAACTTCGCGGCCAGTGAATTTTAACAAGGGGCTTGTTAAAATTGATTGTATGAGCGGTGAAAGTGGGTCTGAGGCATCCCAGAATTCAGGTTGAAGCCAACACGCCCTCCGCCTCTCTCCGAAACTACACTTCCCAGAGGCCTCTGGGATCACTTCCGCCCTCCCTTACTGCCGTCCCTCTGGCGTAGTGCTTACGTACAGATGCACTTCCGGCCAGTGGGTTAGGCCCATCAGGCTGGTTTGTGGTTGGATAGGGCTCCCTGTTTGTTTTTTTTTTCCCGCGTTTCTGCCCTTTATTTCCTCGAGCTTCGGCCTCAGGATCCGTGTCCGGCACCCTACGTTCCGCAAGTGCTCTCTAGTCAGCACGAGTCTCTGCTTGCCCCCATTTTAGTCACGGAGACAAACTGGGAGAGCGCTCTCCTGTAGGCACACCGTGCGGTTTTTCCATCGTTGAAGCCCCTAGTGTTAGAGACAAACTCACTGCACTGCTGGGGACAAGGGCTTCACTCTCTGGTCAGTTTGGAACTGAGCACGAGAGTGTTGTGGCATCCTGGACCCCCTTTCCCCATTTCTGGGTTGGAACTGGCTGCGCTGTTGATTTCTGTGGCATCTCCGACCTCTAATTGTGGGGCTTTGGAGTAGATGCCTTTTTAACACGTTGGGAGGGAGGTTCCACCTAGACACTCTCCAGGGGTAGCACTGTGGAGACCAGGAAAATGGCCACGGGGCTCCTGAGAGCCAAAAAGGAGGTGAGAATTATCTGTAATTACATCTTGGCTATCATCAGGATCCCTGTCGCCCCACTTCTTACCTTTTATTGCCCTGGAGGCTGCCTTGCTGACAAATTTCATTCCTTTGCCCTTGAAAAGTGGTTCATACCTGTTGTCTTCCCTTAGCATACCCTTCTTCTGCATCCATTGCTCAGTCATTCAAATTAATGTGAACACCACACACAGCAGTTTCAATAATAATACAGGGACATCCAAGCGCAGTTGTCCAGTGATATGGATTAAAAACGGGAACAGCAGAGACACCTGTGGCCTGAGAGGTTGGGGAGGAGAAGAAGGACTGTCTGAATTGTAGCTGGGGGGTTTGGTAAATTGGAGAGCTGGGGGGAAGAGGACCAGAAGCATAGTTTGTTTCAGAGACTGGGCCACTGGGCATACTACCATTGCCGCAGTGTGGAAGGAATATAGTAGCCAATAGACCTATTTAAGGTTAATTTAAAAATATGTGCAGGCAAAGATAGAGACTAGCTATTCACACGTGGAGCAGGAGGAATTTGATATGGAATGAACTGAATTTTACATATGAGAGCACTTTTGGCATGGGCAGTTCTGGAGGTCCTGTTTCTCTAAAAATAAATCTGCCTTAGGGCTGGGGCTGTGGCTCAGTGGTAGAGTGCATGCCTAGTGGTGAGGCACTGGATTCGATCCTCAGCACCACATAAAAATGAAGTAAAGATATTGTGTCTGCCTACAACTAAAAAATAAATATTTTAAAAAATATCTGCCCTAAACCTGCATTGTCCTTTGGTGTCAGGAAGTTTTAGCAGGATGTTCTCTTCATCATTTGGACAGAGCCTGTAGGGTCTATTTGTGGCACTTTCTATAGTCTCTATACAGAGGTTAAAATCATTCTCAAGGTAATATTTTTGCATGCCTCTCTCATTTTATAACCTCCCTGGTCTCTGAGAGATTTTTCCCTCCACCATGAGTTTGAGTGGGGACAGATCAAACGGAATTCCCTGTGCCAGGCTGAGGAGTATAGATTTTGTTTTTGAGTAAGCTGGGTTTTGAAGGATATTACGAAGAGACTCAGCATAGAAAATCAGTTGTATGTGGGAAAATAGTGGTTGGCAGACTATAGGAATTTAGGGGATGCCTTCTAATTCTTGAGAATGGTGACTAGGATGACCTTGACTTAATTAAATGAAGATTTATTGAGTGTGGATATAGTTACCAGAATGACTTACTATCATTTTTGATATGGGCTAATTTGGTTATATCAAATTTGCTTTGACTATGCTTATGAGCCGATGAGAGTAAAATCTAGATAGAAAAGAGATTTGTATTTAGTTTAATCCTGGACTCCTTTGGTGGAGATTTATATGTTCCTACATGTTTTCAGAGTAACACTGAGAGTTCAGTGTTTCTTGTTTGTAAAATATTTCATTCACTTGAAAGTGTTAACACCAAGAATGCATAAGAAATCCCACTCAGAAATTTTCCAAGATAATATTGAATCTTTTATGTATGTGCTATCTTTTTTAAAAAAATATTTATTTTTTAGTTGTAGTTGGACACAATACCTTTATTTTATTTATTCATTTTTATGTAGTGCTAAGGATTGAATCTAGGGCTTCACATGTGCTAGGTGAGAGCTCTACCGCTGAGCCACAAACCCAGCCCTGTATGTGCTATCTTAATCACTCATTTACTATTAATAAGCATGTGTTCTGATGTACTATGAAAAGCCAAAAGTTTGTGTCAGCTGATTTTTCCTATTACCTTTTTCACACTCAGACTCTTAAGCCGTAAGAGTCATATAATCAACATGTTCCTTAATATAGATTTTTTTTTTTTTTGGTACTGGGGATCGAAGTCAAGGAGACTAAGGCTTCTTCACCTGATTTGGGTCTGGAAATGCCAGGATTGTGAGCTAAATAAACCTTTTTTAAGTGAATTGCCTCAAGTATTTTCTTATAGTAATGTGAAGCTGAACTAATATACCTAGCAAGTCCTGTCATGTCTATATTTTCCTCTAAATTAGCTTACTAATTCCATAATAATTTCTACAATGCTTCTATTTCTATACATTATTATATGGGCTCCATCCCCAGCCCACAACTGAAATTTTCAGCTGGCTGTCTGGAGATTTCCTTAGCCAGATCTGAGAGATCATCAGTTATATATTCTTTTTTTCCCAAGTTCATGCAGCAGTAGTTTTACTATATATATAACAACCTTTTTTTCAAACTACCGTAGCAGTGTCTTTACTGCTTTTTCAGTCTCTGCTAACATTTTGTTTACTAGTTTTATAACCTGCGATAACAGTTTTCCAAGTTTCTGCCCGTATCAGGCTCCCCAAACTAATGCCACATGTTTTAAGTATTTTTTTATGGAAGCAGTTCAACTCTATGCACCAATTTAGTGGCTTAAAGAACTTAGTGCTGGGGCTGGGGCTATAGCTCAGCGGTAGAGTGCTTGCCTAGCACATGTGAGGCCATGGGTTTGATCCTCAGCACCACATACAAATGAATAAATAGAATAAAGGTATTAAAAAAATTCCTTCCTTTTTTAAAAAAAGAACTTAGTGGCTTAAAATGAAATCATTTATTAGTTTGCAAATCTGTTGGTCAGCAAATAGACCTAGCACATTTGGGCTGATTCTTATGTGGCTAGTCAGCTGGCTCCAGAGCTGGAGCTGGGTGACCTCACGTGTCTTGAAGTTGACAGGCTGGTTGGCTGGGTTGCTTCAGTTCTTGGTTCTCCATGTGGCCTTTTTCACTGAAAAGCTAATGTTATTCACATGATGGTTTTTCCAGGTATCCTGCACAGAAAGAATGAAAGCTAGTCCCCCAACCAAACACTCTATAAAGTAATGCTTACATCATATTTGCTAATGTCCCATTTCATAAACCAAATCACATGATCAAGCCCAGGGTTACTTTAGAGGGAAAATTCATAAATTGGTAGAGACAGGTATGATTCACTGGAGGTCTTCACTGAAACAGTCAACCAATAGGATGTTTTTGAGTGGAAGCAATAGGAAACCCCACTTAGGCTGAAAAATAATAATTTAGATCTTAAAGAAGGAAGTCCAGAGAGAGGGCACACCTTAAGGTTGGTCCTGTAGTTCTATATACTTACCAAGGACTGGCATTCATTGACTTCTCCAATTTGTTCTCCCACGTGTCAGCCTCATCCAGGCTCATTTCCCTCAGAGTTATAGGATATTTGGATAATGACCCTGTAAGGTAAATATTATTATAATATCGATTTATAAGGAAATTGAGACATGGAGAGAGGAGAGTAATGACTCTTTTATACACAGTTTATAGCCAGCATTTTGCTTTGGACCACTGAGTAGTTCTCTAGCTTTAGGGAGCCTTTTGACCTCTCATTCTAAGCTTCAGGCAAGGTGGCTCCTGGATAAAACAGGGATGTATTTTTTGTTAAAGGCTTTTGTGGTGTTCAGGGATGTGGCTGTGGACTTCACCCAAGAGGAGTGGAGGTTGTTAAGCCCTGCTCAGAAGATCCTACACAGGGAAGTGATGCTGGAGAATTATAGTCACCTGGTATCATTAGGTAAGTATGGCATCCCTTAGCACTAAAATTTGTTCCACATGATATTTTTCATGTGTCATGAGAAAAGTTATTCTTTTGGGTTGTGCTTAAAAATAGTTATTTACCTTTTTACTTTTAGTAAATCTAGATTTAATAGATTTGAAGCAGATAATTTGATTTACTCATATTATGTATGATATCACTCATGTTATGCATTTCCAGGCCTCTTTCCCAGGGCTTGGCTCTCTTTTTACTTTATCTTTAATATGATTCATTTCTGGAACTGCCTTTCCTCACTCAGCTTTTCTACTTTGAAAAATTAACTATTCATAGGTCTTTTGTAACCTTGTGAGTTCTCATAATCAAGTATCTCCTTGTTTTCTTCCCTATGAACAGAAATTGCATTTTCCAAACCAAAACTCATTACTCAGCTGGAGCAAGGGGAAGAGCCCTGGAGAGAGGTGAGAAAACATCTGCCGGACCTCTGTCCAGGTGAGTGTGAGCATGGGATAGATGCTTACATCTATCTAGCATACAGCTTGGCAGATAGAGAAGGAAGAGGCATTTCTCAGATACTGGAAAGAAGCTCATCTGCAGGCCTCTTAAGGCCACTGGTAAGGCTTTGTAGCTTTGGTTTCCTTGCAGAATATACTCTTCAGTTGAGGGAGGGACTTTTCTGAGGGAGGATCTCTTCCCTGCTCCTGAAAACCTCACTTCCTCATTTGTCTTGCCTTCTCTATAATGCTTTTCACGTTCATAGTCTTATTTTTCTTTCCTCTGGATCTTAAAAACTGTACCTACCTCATTGACATTAAATCTACCAACATTTTGTCTCAACCATGACCCATGAAGACGAGTTGAACTGGGTTTCAAAGAGCTGACTGCAACATTAAGCTAAGAAAGTAGCAAAAAAATAGTTTTTAAACCAAAGGCAGGACTGCTCTGTGACCTTAAAGGGCTAGAAAGAGCGCTAGAAAGAGCATGAGCCTGCGTTTCCTTTATTTTATGGGGGGGGGGATCAGAGAGGAATAAGTTTTCAAGGGTAGAGTCTTGCTTCATGATTTCTTGTGGTCAGCAGATTGATTGACATCTTGGTGAGTCACACTCATCTCAGGTGCTGTGTGGGATCTTAGGCAGAGCTAGAGGGGGAGGCGCACCTGCATCATGAGATTAATCTCTGACAGGGTGTTGGCAGTGCAGACCTATCCCTTCAAGAGCCTACTATGCACAACACAATCCACACACAGCCCACAGATGGTTCGTGACACTTCTGGATACTTTCTGTTTTCTCTTATACTAAGAATAACTGATTATCTCTACTTCTCCAGATTATAGAAAGCTATGAATAATAATAAAATACATATTCATGTGCCAGCACTCTAGTTTAAGAAATAAAACATAACCTAACCATTTCCAGATTGTATCACATACCTTCCTGATGTCCTGTCTAAAGAGAACTGTTTACGGATTTATAATGCCTATGTATAACAGTGTTAGGGATTTCTAATGCCGAATTCTATTTCTCTGGAACTTGTAAATATAATAAATTTTTAAAAATTTTGTTTTGTTTTATTTTTTTCCTGATCGTCTCCTTTGTATTTTCTTTTTTTAAAAAAATATTTATTTTTTAGTTTTCCGCAGACACAACATCTTTGTTTGTATGTGATGTTGAGGATCTAACCTGGGCCACAGGCATGCCATTTGAGCGTGCTACTGCTTGAGCCACACCCCCAGCCCTCCTTTGTATTTTCTTTTGGCCATACCTGACTGAGCATCTTATAAAAGGATTTAAAACATGATACAAATATTTTGCATATGTTTTGGTACATTTATTTCTAGGTATTTATATTCATGTTGTCATAATTTTATATGCTATTCTAAATGGAATTGTATTTTATTTAAAATATTTATTTATTTATTTATTTTTGAGGTATAGATGGACACAACACAATGCCTTTATTTTTATGTGGTGCTGAGGATCAAACCCGGGTCCCGACCATGCTAGGTGAGCACTCTACAGCTGAGCCATAATCCCAGCCCATGTATTTTAAATTTTGACCTTCAGTTGTTCCCTGCTAGTATAGTGAGAATATTATTTATATATTGCTCATGTTTCCTGTCACTCTGCTTAATTCACTTATTAATTATAGTATTTTTTGTAGATTCTTAGAATTTTCCATATGTAGGTCATGTCATCTATGAATAAAAAGTCAGTTTTGCTCTTCCTTTTTATACTGCGTGCTTTTGATCCTTCCTCCCGCCATCCTTTTCCTCCCTTTTTTTATCCTTCTATCTTTCCCTCTTTATCTTTTTATTACCACTTATCTCTTTTTTTCCTTATTGCAATTGCTAGGACCATTGGTACAATTTTGAATAGAAGTTGTGAAAGTGGACATTGTTTCCCTATTCTATATCTTGGGTGGCAAGAGTTCACTTTTTCATCATATAGTATGATGTTACTTTTATCAGGTTGATGTATTTTCCTTCTGTTCCTGTTTTGTTGAGATGTTTTTTTTTTTAATCATGGATGAGTGTTGAATTTTTCCACATGACTTTTATGTTTTTATTTAGATCAGAAGTCACAAAATTAGACCTGTGAGATGGTAATATTTTTTCTTTGTAATTAGAGTTCACATAAATAAAGTTTTATTAGAAAACAGCCATATCCATTTAATTGATTTGTTGTCTCTCGATGCTTTCATATTATCAGTAGAGCTGAGTATTTAAAACAAACACTGTGTGGCTTGCAAGCCAATGTATGTTGTTTGACTTTTTAAGAAAAAAAAAATCTCAGACTCTTGCTTTAGGAGATAATATGGCATTTCTTTAGTTTGTTAATATGGTCAATTGTATTGATTTTTTTTAGTAGGTGGACAAAATATTTTATTTATATTTTTAGCTGTAGATGGACCCAATATATATATTTATTTATTTTTTATGTGGTGCTGAGAATTGAATCCAGTGCCTCACACATGCTAGGCAAGCGCTCTACCACTGAGCCACAACCCAGCCCTTGATTGATTTTTGAAAGTTGAATAAGCCTTTCATTCTGGAGTAAACCTTATTTCATCATATTATATATATTTTAAAAATTTTATTGAGTTTGGTTTGCAAATGTTTTGCTAAGAATTTTTATCAGTGTTCATGAGGGATTTTGATTGGTAGTTTCCTTAAGTCTTCATCTGGTTTTGATTTGAAAGTAATAGTAACTTCATAAAATGAGGTCAGAGGTATCACCTTCCTTTGTTTTATTGAAAGTTTATTAGAATTAGTATTCTTTCTTTAATGTTTGTTAGAATTTACCAGTGAGGTTTTCCTTGAGGGAGGATTTTAAATTTCAGATTTTATTTACTTAATAGATATGTGACTATTTTTATTCTTTGTTTCTTTTTATATCAATTTTTAAAATTTGTATATTTCAACTTGTCCATTTTACCTAGAGATTAGTTTTGTGTATCTTTGCAAAGAACCAACTTTTGATTTCATTGTTATTTTTGGTGGTACTAGGGATTGAACTCAGGACCTCATATGGTAGGTACTCTACCATTGAGCTATATCTGTAGCCCTTTTTAAAATTTTATGTTTGAAACAGGGTCTTGATAAATTTTCTGCACTGGCCTGGAACTTATAATATCTTTTGAGAAGTTATCATATAGTGTTTTTCTTTTATATGTAATTTATCTTCTGTGATTGTTTTCAATCTTTTCAACAGTGATTTTCAATAGTAAGTGATGTTCTTAGAGATAGTTTTCTTTGTGTTGTCACTTCCTGGGCATTATGAAGCTTCTTGGATCTGTAAGTTAGGTTTTCTACTCATTTGGTAAAATATATGGCAATTATTTCAATGTATTTTCCTGCCCTTTTTATTCTCCTCTCATTCTAGAACTCCAGTTTACCAGTATATTGGGCTACTATATGTTGCCCATACATTTCTGAAAGTGAATACTTTCTCACAAACTTCTGTTCATTTTTCTTCAAACTCTTTTCTCTCTTTTTTTGGAACGGAGTAGGTAAATTCTATTTATTTATCTTCATATTTACTAATCCTTCTTCTTCCATTTTCAGTCTGCTACTGAACCTTTCAAGTGAATTCTTAAATTAGTTATTGTTTGTTTCAGTTGGGTAATTTCTTTTTAAAAAATGTGTCCATTTCTCTATTACAATTCTACATGTTTTCTAATATTGATATTCTATTTTCCTTTTTTGTTTTGAATATAATTTCCTTTAGTTAGTTGAAAATACAATGGCTTCTTTGAAATCTTTGTGTGCTAAATTTAACAACTAGATCCACTCCCTTGCCCCCTTTTCCCCCATCATATGGTCACACTTTTCTGTTTCTCATCTGAATTTGAACTGTAAACTTTGGTCTCCTCAGCAATATGAAACAGCTGGTATTCCTGCTCTGTTCCTGTTGCTTTAAATAGCTTCTTTTTTAGCTGGCCTTCTGGTAATCTCTCACATATGTAATTTGCCTTTCATCTGAGGATTTGGGCAGAGACCATATGCAGTTTTTAGGGCTACACTTTTAGTGGTTTTTTTGTTGTTAAGGATTTAGTAATTCTCAGTTATTCTTCTGGCCTTTTGGTTTTCTGGTATTTCAGATCCATAAGTCTTCTTTACTCTCTCCCCTCTGAGCTGATTGTAGAATATACTCAGTTGAAAATGCAGATTTATAGATCTTACTCCATGTGGCTCTTTAAGAGTCAGTTTCTCGGTTATCTCTTCCTATTTTTTTTCTACACCCGTTTGCAGATATTTTTCCATGTTTGTAGATTATCTTCACTTTCCTAATGATGTCTTTTCAAACAGAAAAGTTTGAAATTTTGATGAAATCCAATTTATCAGGGTTTTTTGGTCTTGTTTGGGGGAATTAAGGATGGAACCAGGCCTCATGTCATAGTCAAAGTTTGGGTGAAAAAAAGGAGAAGATCTTAACAGAAAACTTAACAGAAAACTATCTCTAAGATATGCAAGGTCTTCCACTGAGCCCTATTGCTGTTTATGTTGTTGTTATTTTTAAATAGGTTGTGTTTTTGGTTTTCTAACTAAGAATTTTGTACTTAACTCAGATCACAAAAATTTCTTTCTACTTTGGTTTCTTTGAGAAGTTTTATGTTTTTGGTGCTTACATTTAGTACCATGATGCATTTTGAGTTACTTTTTGTATATTATGTGGGGGTGAGAGTCTAAGCTTATTTTCTTACATGTGAATATTCAATTGTCCTGACATTCTTTGTTTAAAAAGTATTCTCTTTCCCCACTAGTTACCTTGGCACCTTTAAATTGATTAAAAAATCAGTTGACTAGAAATCTAGGGATTTGTTTCTGGTCTTCCAATTTTTTTTCACTGAAGCTATCCTTCTTATGATACCTCCTCCTTATGATACTATCTTCATTGTCACAGCTTTATATTAAGTTTTGAAGTTGGATTGTCTAAGTTTCTTAATTTTCTTTTTCTTTTTCCAATATTTTTTAGTTGCACATGGATTTTTCACTTTATTTATTTATTTATATGTGGTGTTGAGGATCGAATCCAGGGCTTCACAACATGCCAGGCAAGTGCTGTACCAGTGAATCACAACCCCAGTCCCCTTAGCTTTCTTTATCAATTTTGCTTTGGATATTTTATGTATTTTGAATATCAATATAAGTTTTAGAGTCATATTGTCAATTAATAGGAAAACAAAGAGCCACCTGTGGTTTTGATATAAGGATTACGTTGTACCTATAGATCAGTTTGGGGGAGAACTACCATCTTAATAAGATTGAGTCTCGTAATCCATGAGTATCTTTCTCTTTATTTAGGATTTTTAAAAAATTTTTGGTTTATAAATCTATTGCTACTTTTGACATTTCCTTATTATTTTTTTTCATATATTTTTCTCCCCCAGTACTGGGGATTGAACCAGGGGTGCTTTGCCACTGTGCTGTATCTCTAGTGCCCGTCTCCCACCCCTTTTTGACTCACTAAATTGCTGAGGCCTTGAACTTGGAATGCTCCTGCCTCAGTCTCCCTAGTTGCTAGGATTACAGTGTGCACCACCACGCCCAGGTAGTGTTTATTTTTAATTCTTGCTTCCTTGATGTCAGTCTTGTAACTGCAGAACTTAGTGGTCTGTAAGAATTGGCCATATACGTACTCAAAGACTTTGAGTTAGAAAGGCTTCCTATCTATATTTATGGTTAAATGTGTGGGTTGGGGAGAAAATTCAAAGGTCAGGTTGTTTTAAATCTTTCCTGAGATGGGCATGGTAGTGCTCTCCTGTAATCCTAGCAATTTGGAAGGCTAAGGCAGGAGCTTTACAACTTTGAGATCACAACTTCAGCAACTTTGTGAGGCTCTAAGCAACTTAGTGTGACCCCATCTCAAAATCAAATATAAAAAGGGGCTAGGAAGATAGCTCAGTGGTAAAGCACCCCGGGTTCAATCCCCAGTACTGGGGAGGGGGTGTCTTTCCTGGCGTTCTACTTTCCACTGAGTCCTCTTATTTTTCCTTTACCCTGGTTGTCATCTCCTTGTCAGGCAGGGATGTGTGGAGAGCCCAGGCCCACCCAGCCCACAGCTTTCTAATGCCAGGGTTGTGTGGAGGGTTTGTCAAGCCTCTCTCTTGTTGTCTCATTTTCAGGGTCTCCTTGTTGAATTTTGGATAGTCTATCAAATTTTTTCTTCAAGATTGTAATCCTCAGAAAGCAGTTGCTTGTCTTCCCTGTTCATTTACTACCTAGACCTTAACTTGTATTGACAGCTGCAGGGACATTGGTTTCTCACCTTCCATTACAAATCAAGTCAGCCCCTCTGTAGCAGCTTGGTGGCTTGCCTCATATAAGCTACCACATTAACAACTAAGCTAGGATGGAGGGAGAGCCATCTACATATGGATTTCCAGTTTTCCTAGCACCATTTGTTGAGGAGGCTATCTTTTCTCCAATGTATGTTTTTGGCATCTTTGTCTAGTATGATAATGTATTTATGTGGGTTTGTCTCTAAGTTTTCTATTCTGTACTATTGGTCTACATGTCTGTTTTGGTACTCCCCACATGATTAAATATACAGCTATAGCAATAATGTAGCAAACTCTTATTCTTATCTGAGTTCAGTGTTTTTCATGAATAAACATGTCTTGACTTATTTTTGTCTTTGGTTGATTTCTGGTACTGCTGAACAGTACCAGAATAATGTGATAATGTGAAAAGCTCTTGATATGAATTTTCTACATTATAATTGTATGGATGTCAAACTTCGATAAAGTGCTATGTAGTAAATATTTAAGCTTTTAAGGCCACATACAATCTTGTCAGATTGTCTTCTTTCCTCCCCCAAGATAATTTTAATTTTATTTATTTATTTTGAGTACTGGGGATTGAACTCAGGGGCACTCAACCACTGAGCCACATTCCCATCCCTGTTTTGTATTTTAATTAGAGACAGGGTCTCACTATGCTTAGCATCTTGCTGTTGCTGAGACTGGCTTTGAACTTGTGTCCTCCTGTCTTAGCCTCCCAAGCCACTGGGATTAAGGCATGTACCACCATACCCAGCTTATTTTAATTTTTTAGAACTGGGAGGCCTTACAGAAATAGGTTGCAAGCTGAATTTGGCCTGTTGGATGAGTTTACCAACTCCTGCAACAGAAAATGTAATGCATAAAGAGAAATAAAAAAATAGGTCTTATGACGAATTTTTACTTGGGAGATAGCTTGTAATATAAATATATTATGAATCACCAGTGGACATGGCAAAATAACCTAGGCAGCCCTACTTATGACTTCTCTGAAAATGTTCTTTATTCAGCAGGATCAAAGTCAGAAATTCAACCTTGTCCTTCCTGCCCTCTGGTACTCTCCAGTCAGCAAGTCCTTAGCCAACATGTGTGGCTCAGTCATCTGCCTCAGCTCTTTTCAAGTTTATATGCAGGAAATCATCTCCACCCAGGGAATCAGTACCCAGAATATCAGAAAAAAACAACAGGAACAACCCTTTAATCAATCCTGCTTGACTGACAAAGCAAAAATTCAAGAGAGAAAACAAGACTCCAAGCCACTGTTTGGGGGCACAAGTAAAAATGACATATCAAAGTCGTCCTCCATCCCAAGTGAAGAACATCCAGTAAAGTCCAAGGAAGGCAACACAATAGTGGATATAAGGCCCAGCCTAGAACAGAAGGCCGACCTTGAGGAAAGGGACAAAGTATTGCATGGTTTGGAAGTCTCAGGATTTGAAGCAATCAAATTTGAAGAGTTTGGGCCAGACTTTATCAAGGAGTCAAACCTACTTAGCCTCCAGAAGACACACACAGGGGAGATGCCCTACATGTACACAGGGTGGGGACCAAACTTCAGCAGTATGTTGGTCCTTATCAAAAACCCAAGGACACATCCTGGAGAAAAGCCTTATGTGTGCAGGGAATGTGGGAGAGGATTTACCTGGAAGTCAAACCTCATCACACACCAGAGAACACACTCAGGAGAGAAACCTTATGTGTGTAAGGATTGTGGACAAGGCTTTACTTGGAAATCAAACCTCTTCACACATAGCGAACACACTCAGGAGTCAAGCCTCCTGTGCAAGGAATGTGGGCAGAGCTTTAGCCTAAAGTCAAACCTCATCACACATCAGAGGGCACAGACTGAGGAGAAGCCTTATGTTTGCAAGGAATGTGGGCATGGCTTTCGCCAGCATTCCTACCTCATCAGACATAAAAGGACACATTCAAGAGAAAAGCCTTATGTTTGCAGAGAGTGTGAACAAAGTTTTAGTCAGAAGCTTCACCTCCTCAGACACGTAAGGATACATACAGGAGAAAAACCTTACATATGCGCAGAATGTGGGCGTCACTTTAGCTGGAAATCAAACCTCAAGACACACCAGAGGACTCACTCAGGAGTTAGACCTTATGTGTGCCTAGAGTGTGGGAGGCTAAGTAGGTTTGACTCGTTGATAAAGTCAGGCCCAATGCTTTAGCCTGAAGTCAAACCTTCACAAACACCAGAGATCACACACAGGGGAGAAGCCTTTTATATGCACAGAGTGTGGGGGAGGCTTTACCAGGAAGTCAACAGTCATTACACACCAGAGGATACACTCTGGGGAGAAGCCATTTGTATGCAGGGAGTGTGGGCTTTAATGATAAGTCAACCTTGATTTCACATCAGAGGACACACTCAGGGGAAAAACTTTTCATGTGCAGAGATTGTGGTAGAAGGTTTAGGCAGAAGCCAAACTTATTTAGGCATAAGAGGGCACACTCGGTTTCCTTTGTTTGCAGGGAATGTGGGCAAGGCTTTTGTGATAAGTTAACTCTCATTAAACACCAGAGGGCACACTTAGGGGGGAAGCCTCACATGTGCAGGGAGTGTAGGCAGGGCTTTAGCTGGCAGTCGCACCTCATTAGACACCAGAGGAGCCATTCAGGAGAGAAACCTTATGTTTGCAGGAAATGTGGGCGGGGCTTTAGTCGGAAGTCAAATCTTATAGGACATCAGAGGATACACTCAAGATAGAAACCTTGTGTGTACAAGTAGTGTAATGAAGCCTTTAGCAAGGGGTCACACTTCATCAGACAGCAGAGGACATGCACAGAGCTATGGTTTCAGTCAGCCACTGCTGAAACACCACAGAGGAGACATCTTACAATTGACGGTAGTGTGCATGCCACTGTACTGGTGAGAGTTGCATTTCCAGTTCATCTAAAGGAGGATTGCTGGCCCATTTTCAAGAGCTTTGGCCTTCTCTAGTGGGCGTGCTTTATTGTGGAGTCCTTTAAATAGGGAATGGAGACTATTTCTGTGTTGTTTTCCAAGGACACTGTAACACTCCTTCCCTCATATCCTCATGACAGTACTAGAGCTTGTCTTTTGAAGTCTATGTGACCTTCTAACTGAGAACAAAGACTTGGCTGACAGCATAGCTGATTTAATGTTAGTTCCTCAGATAATTATTTTGCATAGTCTTTTGTAGGTTTTGCCTCCCCAATCTGTGTTTAGAGGGCCATTTTCTAGTGCCTCATCTTTAATATCCTGAAGGTGACAACTCCAGATGTTTATACGCAAAAAAGTATCCCAAAGCCAACTACTTAGCATCCATTGCTCCCATGGTAAGTAGAGACTATACTATGTTGAAAATTTTGAAGAAACGATAGTAAACAGTGTGAAACAATGAATAATATCTCAAATCCATGTCTGTTATGGTCACCGTTAGAAGGTTTCATTAAAAAAAAGAGGTGGTAATGAGTTTTAAAATAGCTAATTAAATGTAATTTAATTCTATTTTAATTCAATATTATGTAACAGTCACTAGATCTAAGTATGGTCAGATGATATCTAGAGCCCTGAGACCTTTTCCGAGATTTGAATGATTAAAACAAATTTCATAATTATACTCGTGATACTTTTTTCCGCTGTGCTGAAATTTGCACTGATGGTGCAAAAGCAATGGTGATTGAAAAACTAAGGGGGCCTTTGCATAAATCAAAGTAGTGTCACTAAACTGTACCAGGAAATATTTTTTCGACAGCATACACTGGAGTTAGAAAAGGCAAGTTCCACTAAAGTTCCTCTTTATTGCCTAGCTTTCACAAGGCCTTGGGTTTGATCCCCAGCACTGTAAAAGAAAATAGTAAGTTTCCTATAAAGCATAAAAGTTTTTATCAGTCCTTGAATACAATATTTTATAATTACAGTTTTTATTTTGAGATGATTGTAGATTCACGTGCAGTTGTAAGAAATTATATATAGAGATCCTATGTACTGTTTGCCCAATTTTTTAAAATCTATTTTTAGTTGTTGATAGACCTTGATTTTATTTATTCATATATGGTGCTGAGAATTGAACCCAGTACCTCGCACATGCCAGGCATGTGTACTACTGCTGAGCCCTAGCCCCAGCCCTGCCCAATTTTTAAAAAAAAAATTTTTTTGTTAAGTGCCCCTGAGTTAACCTAACCCACTGAGCCACATTCTCAGCCCTTTTTATTTTTTGAGACAGGGTCTCACTAAGTTACTTAGGGCCTCACTAATTTTCTAAAGCTGCCTTTGAACTCATGATGCTCCTGCCTCAGCTTCCCAAGCCACTGGGATTACAGGCATGTGGCAAGCCACCATGCCCAGCTGTTTGCCCAGTCTTTAAACTCCACATTACAGTATCACAAGCAAGATACTGATATGTGTACTTTTCAAAACTATTTTCTGTGATGAAATGGGAAACGCACACAAAGCTCTTCTATATCTTCAAGAACAATAGGTTGTTTCAAGGAAACACTTATGTGATTAAGTTGTAAGCTGAACAAGCCACGTACATAAGGATGTTATTTTTATTTGAAAGGTTGATTCACACACATTCAGTACACATTTTGTCAAAAATGAAGTGATTTTTTTGGGCTGGGGATGTAGCTGTTTATAGAGCACTTGCCTGGCATGCACAAGGCCCTGGGTTCAGTGCCCAGTACTACACATATACACACCACAAAGGTGATTTTTTAAAAAATGACAGGAATTTTTGCTAATTTTAAGCAAAAAATTTGAATTACAAAAACAAGTATTTTCCCTGTGAATGTGACAGTTTCTCAATACTTAGTTCTTTATGATGAGACTGATAGTAATATTAGTAAATATGAATCTGTAATAACAAATAATATAATTTATCAACCTTGGAATTTGTTTACCTCACAGAGCCAATGTTCCAAATGATTAATATGTGATATTATAAAATCATACCTGGGTAAAGATTCATTTTACATATAAAATTGACAAATGGATTTTAATTTAGTAAATGTCCAATTCATTCCACATTACAAGTAAGCTTTAAGAAATTATACTTGTTGATTTTTTGGGGGGTGGGGGGTACTGGGATTGAACTCAGGGGCACTCATCCACTGAGCCACATTACTAGCCCTATTTTGTATTTTATTTAGAGACAGGGTCTCACTGAGTTGTTTAGTGCCTCACTTTTGCTGAGGTTGGCTTTGAACTCGTGATCCTCCTGCCTCAGTCTCCTGAGCTGCTGGGATTATAGGCATGCGCTATAACGCCCAACTGATTTTTTGATGTACTGTCAAAGAGTAATATCAACAAGTATCTGAAAAAGCACTAAAATATTCCTTTATCTTCTAACTCTATATCTGTGTTAGGCCAGATTTTCATTTTTTTCTTTTACTCTTTTTTTTTTAAATTTTTACTGGGGTTTGAACCCAGGGGCACTTCACCACTCAGCTACACCCCTAGGCCTTCTTATTTGTTTATTTATATATTTTTTGATACAAGGTCTTTCTAAGTTGCCAAGGCTTTCCTCTAAGTCGCAATCCTCCTGCCTTGGTCTCCAGAATCTCTAGGATTTCAAGAGTGCCCCACCATGTCTGGCTCTTATCTTCAGAGGTAAATGCAATGGTACATTTTAAATACCAGCTATCTTCTATTAACTTAGACATTAAGTTACATGCCATAGGAAGTAATATTTTATTTACATTAATATCCTGTATGGCTTACAATTTTGAGGGGAGGAGTGATACTAAAGAGTGAACCAGAGATACTTTACCACTGAGCCACACTCCCCAGCCCATTTTATTTTTTATTTTGAGACATATACTTAGGGCCTTGCCAAATTGTTGAGGCTGGCCTTGAACTTGCATTTGTCTTGTTAGGAGTAGCTGGGATTGTTGGCATATACCACTGTGCATGGCTAGCTTTGTGTAATCATCTCTTTGGTGTGTGTTTTTTTAAATATTTAGTTTTTAGTTGTAGTTGGATACAATACCTTCATTTCAATTATTTATGTTTATGTGGTGCTGAGGATTGAACCCAGGGCCCTGCACATGCTAGGCGAGTGCTCTACTGCTGAGCCACAATATCAGCCCTGGTGTGTGTTTTTCTTTTCTTTTCAATTTCATTAGTTTATATTATTAATTTCCTCAAACTGATTTCCTAGTTTTATTGCTTTATCATTCTAATATAATAATAATTTATTTATCTTCTTCCTTTTTATTGTTATTTGAAAGTCAGTTCATTTCTGTGTGGCTTATAATTTCTTCTTCTTCTTTTTTTTGGTACTGGGGATTGAACTCAGGGGCATTTGGTCACTGAGCCACATCCCCAGCCCTATTTTGCATTTTATTTAGAGAAAGGGTATCTCTGAGTTGCTTAGCGCCTCACAGTTGCTGAGGCTGGCTTTGAACTCATGATCCTCCTGTATCAGCTTCCTGAGCTGCTGGGATCACAGGTGTGTGCCACCATCCCGGGCAGTGGCTTATATTTTCAATTTTTATTTTTTCTTCTAATTAAGAATAACTTACAGAGAACTTACAAATGGCTAAATGTATATATTTATTTATTGCAACCTCTTAATGTTTAATTTTTTATAGATGTATGTTTTGTGATTATATTAATGATTTGCCTGCATTTTATTAATCTATATTAAATGTTTAACACAAACAATTAAATCTATGTTCTAAATGTAGATATAAACAATATTAGAACCAACATTAACGTTTCTACCCCAGCAGAAGAAATGTCTTAATTTAAAAAAAACTTAATACTTCCACTTATATAAATGTTATACTAAATAAACTTGTAATCACATCAGGAAACATTTCTCTAATATTTCCATCAAATTTTTCTCAGTAGATTTCAATCTATTTTATTTATATGTCTAGAAAGTATTTCTTCTTTTTAAAATTATTTTTTTAGTATTTCTTCTTTTTAAATTTTTTTTGTAGTTATGGACAGAATGCCTTTATTTTATATGTTTGTTTTTATGCAGTGCTGAGGATCCAACCCAGCACTTTACACATGCTAGGCAAGCACTCTGTCACTGAGGCCCAGCCCCAGCCCAATAGTATTTCTTCTTGATGATTTTTTTTCCTTTTAAAGTCATGGAGCAATCCCAGATCCCATTTAGCAATTTTATTAATCTGCTCTGTATTGCTGCACTTGCTTTTTTGGGGTAGAATTTGTTTTTCTGACTTCTTCTTTTTCATCTTGATATTCTTGTTTTGTGAATGGAGTGTCCCTTTAGATAGAATGCCACTTCACTTAAATTGGCAACATGTCAATATTATTAGACTGTGATATGTCACGTACATGTATTGTATGCCCTTGGAAAAAACACTAAAAAAGGGAATAAACAGAATACAAGTAATAAAATAGCTGACTTAAATCCTAAATTATTAAGTATTGCATAAATGTAACTGATCTGAATATACTGATTTAAAGCAGATTGGCAGAGTGGATAAAAAATATAATACTATATCCTGTTTCCAAGAAATCAGTTTCAAATATAGTGGTATAGGTAGATTAAAAGTGAATGAATTGGGGCTGGGGTTGTAGCTCAGCAGCAGATCGCTTGCCTAGCCTAGCACATGTGAGGCCTTCAGCACCACATAAAAACAAGTAAATAAAATAAAGGCATTGTGTCCAACTACACCTAAAGAATAAATATTTTTTTAAAAAAAGTGAATGAATTGGGGCTGGGTAAATAGCTCAGTTGATAGATTTCTTGCCTTTTATGCACAAGGCCCTGGGTTCAATCCCCAGCACCACACACACACACACACACAAAAGGAAACAACGGAATGAATTGAATGGCATGTGGCAGAGCAAAAAGCTCCAGGAACTATTCCATTCACCAAAACAAGCATTGAGGTGGCAAGAACACATTTGATTATTTCAGAACTCTTGAGTCTGTTCAAACACTTGCAACACCCAGGGGATTGCTTAATGAAGAACAATGTATATATGTTTTGGTGAATATCAGTATTTGAATACCAGTTATTAGGCCCTAATCCCAGCGCATAGCAGGCTGCCTTGGAGGAAGGCAGTTTATGACCCTGCTTTGTCTTGCAGTGCTAGAGTTGGCAATAAGAACCTTGTCCTTTGGGGCTGAGGTTGTAGCTCAGTGGTAGGGCACTTACCTGGCACATGTGAGGTACTGGGTTTGATCCTCAGCACCATATAAAAATAAATAAATAAATAAATAAAGGTGTTTTGTCCATGTACAACTAAAATATATATATATATATATATATATATATTTTTAAAAAGATCCTTGTCCTTTGATAATCTGAGCTTTTTTTTTTCTCAGACAAGGACAGCTTTGGGTAACAAATTTGGCACCCTGGTTGAGGCCCCAGACCAGCCTCCATGCCAGCTTTCTTGGGCAGGCCTGGATCTCCAAGGAACCCCACTTGCTGTAGGATACAAGATGTCTGAAGAACTTGTTGAGAGCCATTGCCCTATCATGGTCCACTTTGAGAAAAAGGAAACTGAACTCAGTAAAGTCACAACACCTTTAGTGATCTGCATGACCCCTGCCCTATGTAAGCCTTGTGTAGTAACCTGTCATTTGCCACTGTGGACCTCTGAACTGCCTTGATGCTTAATACTCTTAACTGTCCACACCCCACCTGATAGAGAACAAAGACTTTGGGTTACTTGGTCCTGTTTCATCAGGAAGCAGCTTGGAGATGTTGTCACCCATTTTATTTTTTTCATGGAAGGGGAATGTAGAAATTGACAGTGGGGGAAATATAATAGTGGTCCACTTTATGCTTTGAATATAGCTTTTGCTGCTCTGCTACTGCAATTTATTTTTAAAGTGGATATGTTTCTTTCTCTTCCTCTCCCCTTGCTCTTCCCTAATTCTCCCCTTCCCTAATCTCAGGGGAAACAGGATTCCCTTTCTTCCCCATCCTAGGCAGAGTTATCTGTCCTTGAGCACACACCCACCACAGGAACAAAGTAATTCAGACTTTGAGGATGGCACCAATGATTTCAGAAATTAATATCTCTCAAATCAACAAGTGAGTTACTAGTATGGATAGAACACATGGAATGTAGACTTTGAGTGGAATGTAACCTTTGAATCACCTCTTTAAAAACCCATTTTCGTGAAGGGTGGTGGCCAGCGTCTCATTAAGGAGTCCTTATTCCTGCCCAGGATAATCCAAGCCACCCTGAAACTTAACAATTTCAGATAATTAGTATGTAAAAAAAACACATATACTCAGTATTTACAGAAAGCAAAGCCCGTGATCGTGACCACATGGGTTCTGGAACTAGATAAAGGGAAAATGGCTCCAGTGGTTTAAAGGGGTCCATTAAAGGCAGGGATAAGGTTTCAAGGGCCGACTCTTGCTTTGAGAGGTCTTACAGTCAGCAGGTTGATTGACATCTTGGCAGGTCACACCCATCTCAGGTGCTGTGTAGGCCATGGCAGAGTGGGAAAGAGATTCACTTTGTCCATGGGCAGTTGACCAGAGGTAATGTTTACTGGCCACTCCCATTTACCACGTGTCTCTATCCATGAGGCTTCCACGCGCAGAGACCCACATGCAACCCATGGACAGCTCTTGACACCCAATGCTCCCCTTCATGGGCATAATTACAGCCTCTGGGACAGAAGGTCCCGTGCTTCTCCTTTGCTAGCAAAGCAATAAACTTCTTTTTCCTTTTTTCTCAAAACTGAGTCCTTGTTATTGGATTGGCATCAGAGAGAAGTGCTGATTTTGTTTATCTTGTTTTGCCTTCTGGTTTGCAACACCAAACAGAAAAAAAATGATCCCCTTTGGGGGGTGGGTCTTGTCCCTACCAGGCAGGCCAACAATTTGTGTGGATAACAAAATGACCAGTTGCTCTTTACTTATTTCTGCTTTCTTTAGCTCTTACCTATTTATAAAACTAATGTCTTCTGCTCAGCCCATTGAAACACTTAGTCTGTTTCATAGAATGTAGTGTTGCCTGATCCTCGAATTGCAAATAAAGTCAATCAAGATCTTTAAAAAAAAATCAACACCAGTTACATATGTGTTGGTCCACTTCAGACAGGAATAAAGACATTTTTTCTTTTTTTTTTTTAAACTGGGGATTGAATCTTGGAGTGCTTTACTGCTGATACACATCCTCAGTCCTTTTTATTTTGGGACAGTCTTGCTAAGTTGTTTATGGTCTCATTAAATCCCTGAGGCTGGCCTCGGTTTGTTTTTGGTACCAGGGATTGAACTCAGTAGCACTGAGTTCACTCGACCACTGAGCCACATCCCAGCCCTATTTTGTACTTATTTAGAGACATGTTCTCACTGAGTTGCTAAGCACCTTGCCATTGCTGAGCCTGGGTTTGAACTCCTGTCTCAGCCTCCCTAGCTGCTAGGAGTGGCACAGTTATGCGCCACTGCACCCAGCTGTAAGCATGTATTTTTAAAAATACCTGGTGAAACCAGACTTAATGGTGAAATTTTGAATGCTTCCTCCTAAAACTGAGCACAAATAGATATCTTCTTTCAGCACTCTTTTTCAAGATAGTACTGAAACTTGCCAGTGCAAAAAGCCAGTAAAAGCAAATTGAAGGCATAAATATTGAAAAGAAATAAAACTTCCCTATGTGCAGAAGACACGATTGTCTACATAAAAGATCTGAAGAGAGTTTACTAAAAAATCAACTGGAACAAATGAGTGAATTAGCCACGTTACAAGACACAAGGTTAACACAAAAAAAATTCACATTTCTTTATTCAAAGATCCATGAATTACTGGAAACATTAGTTTAAAACACAATATAAATTATAGTTTCCCCCCAAAGTGATACTGTTTAAAATATTTTGTTAGATGTTGATAGGCTTTTATTTTATTCATTTATTTTTAGGTAGTGCTGAGAATCGAACCCAGTGCCTCACACATGCTAGACAAGTGCTTCACCACTGAGCCACAACTCCAGCTCCCAAAGTGATACTTTTGTATAAATCTAAGAAAGCATATATAAAACATATGCTGAAAGCTATAAAACTCTAATGAACAAAATAAAGATGTAAACAAACTGAGAGACATACCATGTTCATGGATTAGAAGACTCAGCCAAGTACATACATCGATTTTCTTAAGACTGACTTATAGATGTGACATAATTTGATCAATGACCTACCAAGATTTTTTTGGTGATATAAATAAATTTTAACATTTATAAGGAAAGTTGCTCGGTTACATTCATGACTAAAAGGCTCAGGGGTCACTCCAGGTAAACTGGGCTAACTGGGCTGAGCAAAATAATCACACAAGACACACAAATACCTTTTTCTTTGTAGTCACTGTGACGGCTCCTCTGACCTTAAGGGTCTGCGGAGGGAGGGAGGGAGGGAGGGAGAGAGAGAGAGATAGAGAGAGAGAGAGAGAGAGAGAGAGAGAGAGAGAGAGAGAGAGATTGAGACCCCTTTTATTGAGGAGAAGCTATTCAAATACGGTAAAGGGTCAGGTTTCAGGGGGCTGAGTCCAGCTTCATGATGTCTGCTGTCAGCAGGTTGACTGACATCTAGGGAGGCCCCACCCAAGGGCACAGTAAGAGAAGGGGCACACACAAGGCACTTCCATGGAACATTCTATCCTAAACAGAGCAAGGGGTTACATTACAAGGGAACAGGTGAGCATAGCTTCACCCATAGGGCTATAGCAAGACACACCCATGAACCCCTAGAACCTAAGAAGGGTGGGGAAAGCTCTGCCACATTTCTGCGACTGAGTGCCTCAGCACCCAGCCCGGGAGTGACTCATTCAAGTTCAAGGTTAGTCTCCCACAGAAAGGGCAATGAAATAGCACAGGTAAAGGAATATGTAAAAGAAAAATAATGTTGGAAGAATCATACAATTCCATTTTAAGACTTATTCTGAGCAATAGTTATCAAGTACAACTGTACTGTGGTATTTGTGGAAGGTTTGAAACAAGGGTTAGTAGAACAGAATTACAAAGCTAAAACAGATATACAGAAATGGGCATAATTGATCTGTCTAAAGGTGTAAAAGCAATTCAATGAAGAAAGAGAGTTATTTTTAAAATGGCAGTGGAACAATTAGACATCAAGAGCAAAAAAACATGTTCAAGCTAAAAAAACATGTTCACACTATGTGCTACTATTTATTATTGATATCACAAATGACCTCCACATTTCTAAATTCAACAATTCTTGGTTCATTTTATTTGAGCTATCAATAGCATTTTACAGAGCTGATGACTCTTTTCCTTGGATTGCTTTTGCCACTTGGGTTATAGGATAACATACTTGGTATTTTTTCTCCTTCTTGGGTCACTGTTTCTCAGCCTTATTTCCTGGTCTCCCTCATTTTTCTGAGTTTTAAATGTCAGAGTAACCCACTACACTGTGCTTCAGCATTTTCTTTTTTCTATTTAAACATTTAGTTGTTGGTTTAGCCACTTCTTTTTTTAAATATTTACTTTTTAGTTGTAGGTGGATATAATACCTTTATTTTGTTTACTTATTTTTATGTGGTGCTGAGAATCGAACCCAGGGCCTCTCATGTGCTAGGCAAGTGCACTACCACTGAGCCACAACCCCAGCCCCAAGGTTTAGCCACTTCTTAAACACCATCTATATGCTGAGAACTCCCATATTTATAACTCTAGTTCAGACTTCTCACCTGAATTTTAGAAATGCAATGTTGAAATACACTACAGTTGTTAATTCACCAAACTCCTAAATTATACTTTTGGTCTTGCCTCTAGTAACCACACCATTGGATAATGCCATCCCCTTGAGTACAGATGGGACCTGTGAACTGCTTCTAACCAACAGGATAAGGCAAAAGTTGTGGGATATCACTCTTTTTTCTTTTTATGTTAAGTTATATAGCAAAGGTGTGGGTGTAGGCTTTTCCAGAAGTCAGAGACTCCAAGCAGCAAAGATCCTCCCTCTGCCTCTGTTTCTCTGTTCAATGCTTTGAAACATTCAAGAAAACAAACTGTCATGAATTCTATTGCCACAAAGAAATTATTTAATGCAACTACCTGAGAGAGCTTGGAAATAAATCCTTTCCTAGTCAAGCCTACATGAGAATGGCTAACACTTTAATTTCAGCTTTGTAAGACTCTGAGAAGAGGACCTAGTGAAATGTCTCCAGAGGCCACGCTCTCAGCACTATTAAGAATCTAACTTCAGGGTCTGGGGTGGTGGCTCAGTGGTAGAGTGCTCGCCTAGCATGCATAAGACACTGGGTTTGATCCTGAGCACACATAAATATAAAATAAAGATATTGTGTCCACCTAAAACTAAAAAAATAAATATTAACAAAAAAAGGATCTGATTTCAGATTTTGAGCACTGGTGGATGCTGCCTCTTACCCCAGAGGACACACACCACCAAGGGAGGACAGAGACTGTTGGAACACTGTAACCGCCAGTACAGTACACTTCTCCTTTCTGTTACCACCCAAGTTCTACTCATCCTTCCATAGCCTTTGTTGTGATGTGGAATCCAGGACAGCTGGTGAAAGTTACTAGTGGAGTTGTGGAATATCCTGTGAGCAGGTGACCTTGGAGCAAATCAGGCCTATGGCTGCCTCACCTGAAATGAGCCTATGGACTCCTTGGTGTTCACCCAGCCTGCAGCCCTCAGCCAGCTGCTCTCTCAGGCCCTGTCCTAGTGGCTGTCAGTCTTTCTGGATGAGGAGGTCCTTGAGATGCTGAGTGAGGTAGAAGGAGGAACCTCTCCCTTCTTGTAACTTCTAGCTTAACTGAGTTAGTCCTTGCACCTGAATTTGGACCAGAAAAAAAAAATATTTCCTAGGATGGGACAGAAGAAATTTCAGAGTGGGAATGGTGTAATGATAGGTGATGAGGAATTAGAGAGATTTGTGAAAATAATTCTGGCTCATTTTTAACTGAACAGTGACTTCTTGTTACATTTTGCTTACAGTAGCCCAGTGAAAACATGCTCTGGAGGCATTTATAGAGCCTCAGAGGTCTAATGTTAGGATGGGATTAAAAAAAAAAAAACTACCCAGAGAAACTGTGAAATAATAAATGATTTGTGGTAAATTGTTACATAACAACAGAAAACTAATACACTTGTTAAGCCAGGTGTGATGGTACATGCCTATAAACCCAGAGACTCAGGAGCCTGAGGCAGGAGGATCTAAAGTTCAAAGCCAGCCTCGGCAAGTTAGTAAGGCTCTAAGCAATGTAGGGAGACCATTTCAAAAAAAAGGGATGGGGATGCAGCTCAGTGGTTAAGTATCCCAGGGTTGAATCCCTGGTTCCAAAAACAAACAAATAAATAAATAAATTTCTTGTATCTATTTTTTAGTAAGCAAAACACATTTCTATAGTCAAAACTATACAAAACGGTATACTCAGAAGTTCACCCCAATATCTTTTTTTAAACAGAAATCTTTTTAAAATTTAATTTATTTTTTTAATGTGGTGCTGAGGACGGAACCCAGTGCTGCACACATGCTAGGCAAGCGCCGTACCACTGAGCAACAACCCCAGCCCTATCCCCCATATCTTAGTGGCTATTCCATCTGTCTCCTTACCGTATTCTCTTTTCAACACTTTTCTCTGTCCACATATTCTCCTGAATGATCTCCCATATCTCTCAAAGCATCTAAAAGAGGGTGGCCCACTGTGGCACACTCTGTGTGTGATCACACAGTAATCATTCCTTTCCTGGATAATACATAATCAGCTTTCTTCCTGGCTGGCAGAATCCATATCTTATAAGAGATTCTGAAAGTGGAAACTATTCACTTTCTCAGCATTTGTGATTTTGTTGGGTGAGGACCTGAACTGCTGCAGCCAACTTGAAATTGTGTGGAGAGACACTGTGATCACATTGAGGATTACGGAGCAGGAAAAAAGATAAGAGGCTGGGTTCTTGAAATGATTATGCACCTGTTAAGTCAGCTAAGTGGAGAAATAAATGTCTTTATTGTATAAGCCACTTTCAGTTGAGCGTTGTATATTTCCAGCTAAAATCTTCTTAATTGAAATTCCCAAATTTGTATTTCCAGTGCCAACCTTTCCAATGAGCTTCACACACATATCTAAATTCACATTCAGCATCACCTCTTTGATATCCAGCAAGTGTCACCAATTTAACAGAATCAACCCCCCCCATCCTAGATACTTGCTATATACCCATTGTTCCCTATCTTGTTAAATGATACTACTATTCATCCAGGTGCTCAAGACAAATGTTTAGGCATTACTCATGTATTCTTTTCCCCTCATATCACAACCAAGCGTAAGCAACTCCTGTAAATTCTATACTCAAATTGTATCCCAATTTCACCATTTATCATTACCTCTACCTTTTACTACTCTAATTCAACCAACCATCAGAATAAGTTCAGTGGTCTTCAAAATAAAATATATATAAGTGCTGTAGTTTGGATAATGGTTTGTATCTCCCCAAAGGTTATGTATTAGAGGTGTAGTCCCCAGGGTGGCAGTATAGGGTGGTGGTCAAAACTTTAAGAGGTGGGTCTTGTACTCTCTAGAGGCAGATTTCCTGCAACCTCTTGAATTTTCAGGAATTTTTTTTGGGGGGGGCACTGGAGATTGAAGTCTTTCTTGGGTGCCCCTACCACTGAGCTTCATCCACAGCCCTTTTGTAACTTATTATTTAGAGACAGGGTCTCACTAAGTTGCTGAGGCTAGTCTTGAACTTGTGATTTTCTTGCCCAGTCTCCCAAGTTGCTTGGATTACAGGTATGTGCAATTGTACCAGCTAAGAAGAGCATTCTTATAAAAAAGAGCAAACTAGGCTGGGGATATAGCTTAATTGGTAGAGTGCTGCCTAGCATGCTCAAGGCCCTGGGTTCAATCACCAGCAGTACAGGAAAAAAAAAAAAGAAAGAAAATTTAGCCCCAGACAGCCTCTGTGCTCCTGCTAAAATGAATCACTTGCTTTCTCCTGCCACAGATGGCACCACTGCTATCCATGCTATGGGGTAATGCATCCCAAGGGCCTGTGCTGTGCCATTTGGACTTTCAGCCCCATAAACTGGGCTAAATAAAACTATTATTTTTTCACAAGCAGCCTATGTCAAGTATTTTGCTTCATTAACAGTGGTAGAGTGCTGGCCTAGCATGTGTGAAGGCACTTGGTTCAATCCTCAAACCACATAAAAATAAATAAATAAATACATACATACATAAATAAATGTATTGTGTTCATCACCAACTTAATTTTTTTTTAAAAAAAGATTGCTTTTCTCTGAAAGTTGAAATGCCTAATTTCAAAGTAAACAGCAATCATTTCACTGTAGTAGCCAGACTCATTTGCCTATGACCCTGTGTATTACTCAAGGATGGAATCTCAAGAACTTTCTCTTGCTTCTACACACCCCTACTTACTAGAGTCTTGTCTTGGGTGCTCCTTCCACATCTTCCATGATCTAGGGAGGGGGAATAAAGTTTGTTTGGAACTTTCTCTCAGGGACTCAAATTCTTGTTCTTCTGCCTGAGCAATTTTCTTAAAGCTGGGCCCTAATTGAAATGGTAGAATCAAAAGTGCAAGTAAGAGGGCTGGGGATATAGCTCAGTTGGTACAGTGCTTGCCTTGCATGCACATAGGCCCTGGGTTCAATCCCAGCACCAAAAAAAAAAAAAAAAAAAAAAAGGTGCAAGCAAGGTGGACAAGGTCGCGCACACCTGTGATCCTGGGGAAGCTGACCCAGAAGAATTGCAAGTTCAAAGCCAGCCTCTACAAAGGCTAGGTTCTAAGCAACTCAGACCCGGTTTCTAAATAAAATACAAAAGAGGGCTGGGGATGTGGTTCAGTGGTTAAATGCTCCTGAGTTCAAACCCAGGTTACCAGCCCTCCTTCCCCCCAAAAAGTGCAAACATCAGAGGTACACCAGAGCTCAGGCTACCAAATTACCAACTGGTCTGGTCTGGTGCAAAAGAGAAACTTCACACAAGTAGAACATAATTACCCCACTGGGGTACAGGAGAGAAGGCATATAAAAGGAACTCTGAGCCTGCCCCAGCGAAGGATGGGGTGGAAGAAAAGTTAGATTGGGAGACAACTAGCCCCACACAGAGATACACACATTGGCCCTAATGGCAAGCCCAGAAATGAAGAACCTTCGCAGACTTTTGCAGACGACTTCTGGAAAAAGAATACAGTGACAGAAACGATCAGCCCCCTCGTGTGTGTGTGTGTGTGTGTGTGTGTGTGTGTAAATAAATAAACCGCCAGTTTCGCTCACATAGTCTTGACCTCCGCGCCACACATCCAAAATTTGTCGAAACAACCCACAATCGAGGCGTGTGATTTAAAATTCAGAAGCTCAGTGTGCTGACAGAATCCTTCGCCCCTTGGTGCTCAAACACAGGGTTGCAGAAAGCACACCCAAGCGTTGAATCACAGTCACCGGTTCGCCGAGCCACACCGTTTTCTCAAAAAGCAAGTGTTTAGTATTTTGCACAGTATCCGGCACGTGCAGGGCTGACAGTGGCCACCTGTAGGCGCAAGCGCGAAGAGGTGGTGGGCGCAGCGCAGTCTGGGAAATGTAGTTTAGTCAAAGAAAGCCGCGGCGCAAAGCATTCTGGAGCTCGTGGTCCATGAGGCCTTCGCAGAAAGCTAGTTCAGATGGCGCAGAGCTCAGTCTAGCCTGGGTCCTCTTTCGGCTCCACCTCGCGGAGGATTCTGGGAAGTGACGTTGTCGGTCCGGGTGGTGGGGCTGGTTTCCATAGCCCGCGGCGCCGGGAGGTGAGTTGGTCTCTGCCCCAGGTCAAGAGAGGGGGCTGGGCTCAGTGTGTGCGGCAGGGGACGGGGGTGGGAACTCCGCAGGCGCAGCTGGCGAGGTTGTGTGTCAGTGTCACTGTGTACAACTATGTGACAGGCTGCGGGTGTGACGCTGTTATCTCGTGTGTCACGGTATGTGTGCGTGCCTGTGTGTGCTTGTGTATGACTGTGACCATCTGTCTCCTGGGGGAAAAACTATGTGTATTTGTGTGCGACTGTCCCTACAGGTGTAGTTGTGTGTTACTGTGAATGGGTTTGTGGGAGACCGAGGTATGACATTGTGTGTCTGTGAATATGTTTGACCACCTGTCTTTAGATACACCTGTGTTGTAATGTTTGTGACAGCAGATGTGATTTTGTGACATGCCCATCAGTTTCTGAAGTTTTAATTTTATATGAGTAATTGTGACAAGATTATGACCTTGAGTGGTGTGCCACTGTGACTGTGTAACTGTCTCTCTGTTGTGTGTGACCACCTATCTTTGTGCTAATATGGCTGTGTGTGATTATGGGTGTGACTGTGAGACTCTGTGTATGTGTATGATTGGGTGAGAATTTGTACGTGTATGTGAGATGGTGGGCTTGATTGTTCAGGACCTAGTTTGTGATTGTAAGGAACAGAAAGATTAAAATTACTTGCTTAAGTTCACACAGTTAATAAGTGACAAAACTTATTAACTGACCCAAACCACAGTTAATAAATGATAGAACTAGGACTCAAAACTGAGCAGTTTGGATGAAGAGTTCTTGATTTTAATGAATAAACTGATTTTTCACACATTGTAAGGATGAATAATGGGAGCTCTGGATTCTGAGAGTCGTGGAGATGATTATGTCTGGTTTTCTACTGTGAACCATTGAAGTGTGGATACATAATCTGGTTTGCTTCCTTACACAGGACACAACCTAAACACATTATGTTGAGACCTTCCACAAATTGGCTACTTTTAGGGGAGGAAAGCCAATCTGAAAGCCCAGTCATCTTCCACTTAGGTCACTGGGTCCTTGTCAAAACTTCCATGTTTGGTGCTAAGAGAGGCTGATCTTGGCTCTTTTTCTGATGTACCAAGTGAGCTGTATTTGGTTTTCATTTTCTCAGTTAATAAAAAAAAAGTTCTTTTCATTTCCAAATGGGAGTATAGAATCAAGCAGGAGCAAGGGTGCTTCTCTGTGTCACATGTTGGCTCATGCAATCTTTTTTATTTTCATTTGTTATTTTTAGATATACATGACAGTAGGGTGTATTTTGACATAAATACATGGAGTATAATTTATTCTAATTAGGAATAAGTTATTATTTCTAAATTATTCCAATTTATTCTAATTCTCATTCTTGTGGTTGTACATGATGTGGAGTATCACTGGTCATGTATACATCTATGAACATAGGAAAGTTATGTTGGATTCATTCTGGCTCATGCAATCTTTTTTTTTTTTTAAAGAGAGAGGGGGGGGTGAGAGGGAGAGGAGAGAGAGAGAGAGATTTTTTAATATTTATTTTTTAGTTTTTGGCAGACACAACATCTTTGTTTGTATGTGGTGCTGAGGATCGAACCCGGGCTGCACGCTTGCCAGGCGAGCGCGCTACCGCTTGAGCCACATCTCCAGCCCCTGGCTCATGCAATCTTGACATTGAGGAAAGAAAGATTTGGAAAGATGGATTAACTTGCCCAAGTTCAAACTCCCAGTGAGAAAAACCGTGAAAAGTCTACCTGGGCCTGGGAACTATGTAAAACCCCAGTCTTTCCATTGCCCTTCTTGCAAAGACTGATGGCCCACTTCAAACTTAGAAATATATTGCCCAAGGGATACTCAGTTTTCTGGATAAAAAAGAAATCTAGAAACTTAAAAGAAATTTCTTTTATGTAGATGCTACTTAAGGCTTCTGCTTTCAGATGCCAAGCAGAATACATTGCTTCTCCTCTCAGCTTGCAGAGGCTTTTGTGGAATATTCCAAGCTCCCCAGAGTTGGCTAGTACAGCATAGCCTAGAATCTGGGGGTAGTGAATCCTAAATTTTAGGTCAAATGAGAAGTTTCCCATTTTCAAAAGGGAAAAAAAATGTTGGCTCTGAGAGGACAAGCAGGTTATTTTGAGTTACAGTTTGTTGTTGGTTTGGAATTATAGTTTGGCAATTTTTTCCTCAGGCTGCTTTTCTGTGGAGTAATAGATAACATCTGTTAGCTCTGAAGATGCTTCTCTAAGGAACAAATGGCATTGGTTCCTCAGGTTTTTGTTGACCATATTCTATTCGGACATTGTGGATTCTTGAAAGGTCAGTTTTTGAATCTCACTTCAGTTGGATTCATGACTTTTAGTTGGTTGCTTTAACTTAAGTTCACTTATCAGTAAAATAGAAATAATAGTATCTACCTTTGCAGTCTTTTAAGTGTTGCACGAGATAATGGCGTGGATAGCATGCATAATATCACTATGTATATTACAGGAAGCACAGCAAGATTTATTTATTCACTTATCCAGTATTTCTGAGTACCTACAATGGTTCAGTGAACCAAACAAATCCTCTCTCTCTTGGATATTACAATCTTGTGTGAAAAGGCAAACAATAAACAGAATGTATGTGACATTTTCAATGGTGATAAATGCTAAGAAGAAAAATAAATCACGATAAGGAAAAAGAGTGACTGGAATAGTGTTCTCTTCAGATAGAATTTTCAGGGAACTTCCTCTGATGAAGTAACAGTTGAACACAGGAATAAAGAGAAAGAGAACGCCTTGCTGATTTTTGGGAGAAGAGTGTTTAGGAAAAAGGAAAAGCAAAGGTAACAGCTGTGAAGGAGGAGTGTCCATAGCATTGGAGTAACAATTAAGAGACCTGTGTACCTGAAGAGGGCTGAGCAAAAGGATAAGGATAAGAAATGAGGTCAGACGAGCAGCCAGGGGCCAAGTCAAAACCCACCTTGTTGGCCCTGGGATAGACTACAGATTTTGTTGAGTTGGGTTTTATGTCATTTGGGGTTAAATTCAGCATTGGCCTTTTCCTCTGATCTTGGAAAGCATGATTCTTGTTCATATAAAAAGGATATGGGGATTGTGTAGCATTCCCCAACTTGCCAGGCCCTTGGCTATTGATCTGCTCTTTGCTATGGTAAACATTGCATAACTCACGTGTTATGATTTTTCACATGGACTATAAAAGTTGGATTAATGTGGACACTTAAGGCGTAAGAAATTGAAGAAATAGGGGCTGGGATTGTGGCTCAGCGATAGAGCGCTTGCCTAGCACAGGCGGGACCCGGGTTCTATCCTCAGCACCACATAAAAATAAAGGATTGTGTTGTGTCTATCTACACCTAAAAAATAAATGTAAAAAAAAGAAATTGAAGAAGTAAACAAGGGTCTTCTTTCCATTACTCTTCAAAATGTATTTTTGACATATCAGTATAAGTCCTGCCCATCAGAAAAGCATTAATGAGGGACAGTTTCACAGAAATTTTTATCTCATATTTCTTTGTCAGCCCTGTGATTCTAATCCCAGCAAGGAACTTGGGCAATTGTTTTAAAAGTTGAAGAAGGCCAGGCATGGTGGCACATGCCTGTAATCCCACTGACTTGGGAGGTTGAGACAGGAGGATTGAAAGTTCAAAGCCAGCTTCAGCAGAAGTGGGGCACTAAGCAATTCAGTGAGACCCTGTCTCTAAATGAAATATAAAATAGGGCTGGGGATGTGGCTCAGTGATTGAGTGCCCCTGGGTTCAATCCCTGGTACCCACATATACACACAAAAAGTTGAAGAAATGTGATGTTGTTTTTTTTTTAAAGATAAAATGGCTGATTGTAAAAATTAGGTTTATTTATTTTAAATTTTTTTTAGTTGTGGATGGACCTTTATTTACTTATTTATATGCAGTGCTGAGAATCAATCCCAGTGCTTCACACATGCTAGGCAAGCAGTCTACCACCGAGCCACAGCTCCAGCCCTAGATTTATTTATTGTGTAAACTTGGGTCCAATATGACATTTTTAGCCAGCTTATTAATAATCATTGGTAAGTTGGATAGTATAGAAAATGCTTTTTCTACAGGATAGTTAATTTAGGTCAGTCATGTTGGTGATGCTTGTTCATTAACCATTTATGCATTATTAATAAAATTACAAGAATAAAATCATTAAAAAGGATATGGGAACCATCAAGGGGCAATAATTTTATCTTTGTGGGTCTTATACTAGTAAGGTAGAACTGGGATATCATTTTTCTTAACTCTCCCTTTTTAGGACTTTGTTCTTAATCAAAAAAACAAACTGAAGAAGAAATGGCTGTTGGACTTTGTAAAGTCATGTCCCAGGTAAGTTAATAGTTTCAGAAATTTCATCTCCTTTTTCAGAACTTTGGGGCCACAGGGAAAAAATTGCCCAGGGCACCTTCGTCAGTGTTTTCTGCCATTTATTCACCTAAACCATCTACAAAACTTTTAATATCTTTTTTACGTGTGATGAATAGACAGACTGTGATTTATTGAGTTGGGGTTGAGTGCTCTATTAAACAGGGAGATCAAGGATAGACTCTCTGAGAAGGTGACACTACAGCAAAGCAAAACTTCAGTGAAAGTAGAGAGTAAGTTTGTATAAATTAGGGAAGCAAGAGTAGCAAGGACTGGGCTGGGGCTGTGTAGCTCAGTGATAGAGCATGTGCCTCACATGTGAGGCACTGGGTTTGATCCTCAGCATCACATAAAAAAAATAAAGATTAAAAAAAAAGAATAGCAAGAACCAAGTTATTTTGGTGGGAGCATGTTTGGTTTGATCCAACAATAGCACTGAGCCAGTGTCCTGGGGGTAGGAGGGAGTCAGCACTATGAGGTCACAAGTGTAGCTAGGGGCCAGATTCTGTAGGCAATTGAATGTCATTAGAACTTTGAGTTTTGTTCTAAATGTGAAGGAGAGCCTTTGGAGTGCTTGTGATATGATTTGATTTGATGTTTTAAAATAAATAGAAAGAGAAAGCATGGGAAATAGGGTAAAAGCAGGTGATAACAATCTGAACCCTGTGGGGAGCATTAGAGCTGGAGAAATTCTGTGTATGTATTGAAGATAGAAAATGGAATTTGATCCAGGATTGGTTGTGGAGTGTAAGAAGAAAAACGAAGTCAAGGATGACTACAAAGATTTTTGGCTGGGTAGCTACACAAATAGTCATCCCATTTACTCAGAAATACATGATAGAGACTCTTGGATATATTGAGAGACCAAAAGGAATGCTGACTATATATCTGCAGTTCAGGACTAGAAATGTGAATTTAAAGCCATGGGACAAGATAAAATTATCTCGAAGTCAAGGTTCTGGCAAATGTTAATAGGAAAGAGATCCAGGACCAAGTTTGGGACATTTTAACAAGTCAAGAAGAGGAGGAATCAGAAAGAGATGAAAACAACCGAGTGTTGTGGAATATGCCTGTAGCTCCAGCTACTTAGGAGGCTGAGGTGGGAGGATTACTTGATTCCAGGAAAATAATTTTATTAGAAAACAATTACATGTGCCAGGTGCAGTGGTATTTTCCCTAGATTATTTAGAGCTTTAAACTCTGGATGAATTTATCTTTTTTTACTGGGACCATATGGGAATCTAAGCACTTGGTGAATAAGAATTTATTTTTATTTCAGGGGTTGGTGACTTTCAAAGATGTGGCTCTAGACTTTTCCCAAGAGGAATGGGAATGGTTGGACCCATCTCAGAAGGATTTATACAGAGAAGTCATGTTTGAAAACTACAGGAACTTGGCATGGCTTGGTAAGGATGTTTCTCCCCGATAAATCCAAAATTTCCTTCTGAGATGTTTTTATTTCCTCAATCAGTAATATCTAGGACATTTTGAAGGTACTTGAATTTCTGCCTTCTGTTTCCAGGAAGTGATTGGAAGTAGTTTTTTAGAGTTGGAAATGAGTAGTTCCCTTTGCTATAGAATGGTGGTTTGAAACAGCAACATCAGCATGCCTTGTGAATTTGTTAAATACAAATTGTAGGACCCCACTCTAGATCTACAAAAACAGAAATTCAGGGACTGTGTCTAGTAATCTGGCTTTTAATAAGTCCTCCAGTGATCCTGATGCCTGTCAAAGTTCCAGAGCCAGTGTTGTTTCTGATTCAGTAGGTCTGAGTTGGGGCCTGAGAATTTGCATTTCAAATTAGTGCCGAGGTGATGGCTACTTCTGTTGTAGAGCTTTGAGAGCCACTGCTATGGAATAGTTTCACCTTCCTAATCCTACATACAAGCACCATTCCATTCTTTGACCCTTAAAGGTCATTTCTTGCCTGATGATCAAGAAATTGGGTCTGGGACCTGGAACAACTGCAGCATGTTGATTTATCTGTCTCTGGCTTTCATTTTTCTTACCCTATAAATAGGCCTCTCCATTTCTAAGCCCAACATGATCTCCTTATTGGAGCAAGGAAAGGAACCTTGGATGGTGGAAAGAAAGATGTCACATGATCAGTGTGCAGGTGAGTGACAGATAACTGGGCAGGGAAGGCCATTGTAAGGTACCCACACAAGTGGTCCTGAGGAGGCTTCCCTGAACTTCAGGTGGCAAGGAAACCTCTTTAGCATGTGCTCCCCTAGACACCTCAACTTGACCTTGGGGTTTTTTCCTTCCAATTTTATCACATTTTATTTTCTAGTCTTTTACCTGTACCCTAAATCTTAATCCTTTCCATTTCTTTTTCTCTATTGTGGTCAGAATTGCATACTTTTCTAGATTTCCTTTTTTTTGACCTTTTACTTTTGTCAAAAATGTTATTAAAGATATACATGCATGCTCTTTAGAAAAAAACCCAGTAGTTTGACAAAGCTAGTTTTCTTTAAAAAAAAAAAAAAAAAGGAATTCATTTACTCTGCTCTCCAGTTGCCGTCTCTGTAGAGGGATCTACTTTCTTTTATACCTTTTTGGTGTTTCCCTAATGCCTCTAAAAATATGTTTAATATTGCTATTTCCTGATTTTTTTTCAGATTTAATCCTTATCCAATACCTTTTGACTGAGAAAATAAAGATTTAGCACTTTCTTATTCTGAACTCAACATATGTACAGATATTAATATCAACTCTCCTATCTTATTGATATCATAATTTTGATTGACTCATTATTCAATATTTACATTGTTATGGGTATTTATTTATTTAATGCTAGTCATAGTCAAATTGTGCACATATCAATATTGCTTTTTCTTAAAACTTTTTGTTTTCCCCAAAGTTAATAATGATCTGGAGATTTTGTTTTATCTTCTGTTTAATTTTATATATATTTATATATAAATAAAATTCAATTCCCAATTCCCCTCAATTATCTAAAACTCTCAAGCTACTCAGACACATTAGGTAACCTGTCAGTTTCATCTTGGAAAAATCTCTCCTGGAGTCTTAAGAGATGCTTCACTCTAGACAAATGGTCCATTACATCTACTTGTACTCAATTTGGATTTATCTGATATTTTCTTATGATTAGGTCGAGTATGCATATTTTGAAAGAATACCACAGAAATAATATTGTGTCCCTCAGTACATCATATCAAAGAATTTACAATGTTGATGTGCCTTATTATCTATGATACTAACTTTGCTTGCCTAGTGAGGGTGGTGTCTACTTGTTTTTTCCATTATAAAGTTCTTATTTTTCTATTAATAATTAATAACTATCTTGTAGGAAATACTTTGAAACTATTCAACTTCTCATAAAACTTTTGCTTATTAATTTTAGCACCACAGGAATATGTATATTCGTATATATCTGTCTATACACATATAAAAAAATAGGATCATTCTGTGTGGAAGAACTGTTTCTTCTCCCCCATATTCTTATGAATTCAATTATATTTGTAGATTTATGTATTTTTTCTATGAAATAAAGACTTCATAGAATTTAAAGAGATTCATCTTTATATTGCTAGATTTATGGATTTTTTCCTATGGAGTTAAATCCAATGAATCATTATTTTGTTGCTCAGTTTGTTCCAGTTTTGGCCATCAGAATCTCCATGTTGGTTCCTTTGAGCTTTTCACATGTTCCCCTCCATTTTTTGATCACTTCCTTCCTTTTGGCACCACAGAGTATATCCCAGGTTCATTTTGTTTTCCTTGCCCAGCCTTGAATCTGTCACTTCTCTAAGAAACCTGGTTCTTTTTTATTGGGAAATGGTGTTTAGAAACCAAAATCTGGATTCTAGATGTGCTCATTGCTGTCAGGCCATGACAGCAGATAGAGATAGGAAATAAGTGCATGTATAAACACAAACTTCTATTTTTATTTCTGCCTCTGTCTCTTTATATATTAAAACTCTTCATTTATATTAGTAATTAGATTCTAGTGTAACTCCAAGCTGGGGTAATTGTAGCCTTCCTCTTTTACTTATTTGTAATTTCTTTTTCTGACAATGATAAACAATATATTTACTTACTTGCTCAATTTTAGTATAGATGTGAACTATATATACTAATTTTTCTAGTTTATTCATCTGAGATATAAATTTACTCATTTGATTCAAAAATTTTAGTATATACATAAAATATATACCCTAAATTTTCTAACTTATTCATCTGTAAAATACAAATTTCCTAACTACATTCAAACTACGGATGTATGTGTAGTTTCTTGTATCTTATTTGCAACACATTCTTGGGGAGTTAGATTGTCTTTATTTATTTGTAGAACTTTTTAAAATATATTGAGTATTATTAATTTTTCTAGAGAAAACGTGTTTGTTTTCTTTTCCCAGAATGTCTCTTGCCTTTTCCCAGAATGTGTCGTGCCTTTTAACTTGTGATTTCTTTTCAAAAATAGAAGTTTTTAATGTTAATGTCAGATCTGTCTTTTTCTTTATAGTTCATCCTTTGTAGCCTCATTTACTAAATCTTCCCCTAGTAACTAGGGTCATAAAAATATTCTGTTTGGTTTTTTGCAGTACCAGAGATTGAACCCAGGGGTTCCCTACCACTGAGCTACACTCCTAGCCTTTTTTATTTTTTATTTTAAGATAGGGCCTTTGCTAAGTTGCTGTGGCTGGCCTTGAATTTGTGATTCTCCTATCTCAGCCTCCCAAGTTACTGGGATTATAGGCCTGTGCCATCATACCCAGCTCAGCCCTTTATTCTTTTTTTTTTTTTTTTGAGAGAGAGAGAGAGAGAGAGAGAGAGAGAATGAATTTTAATATTTATTTATTTATTTTTAGTTCCCGGCAGACTCAGCATCTTGTTTGTATGTGGTGCTGAGGATCGAACCCGGGCCTCACGCATGCCAGGCAAGCGCGCTACCGCTTGAGCCACATCCCCAGCCCCACGTTTATTCTTATTTTTTATTTTGAGACTGTCTTACTAATTTGTCTGGGCTGGCCTCAAGCTTGTAATGCATCTATCTCAGCTTCCCAAGTAGTAGGGATTACTGGCAGACACCACTGTATCCCACCCTCTTGTATTATTTTTAATAGTTTTAAGGTTTTTGTTTTTCACTTTTAGGCCTATAATCTCTGTGGACTTTAATTTTTAAATATGGTGTGTGAATTTATTGACTAATGCATTTCTTCACTGATAGATGATAATGCTGCCTTCATCTGCATGCCAAGTTCTTATATTTGTGTGATTCTTACATCTGCCCTCTTCTTTTCATTCCACTGTTTATTTCTAAACCAGTGCTACACTGTTTTCCTTACTATGTAGCTTAATATTCCTTTAGTGTTCTAAGTGGTTATCACTGGCAAGTAGAGCAAATATTAATTTGCATGTATTTATCTCTATCTAGCCAGCTTGTTGTACTGTTTTATTCACTTCTCTGAATTTCTTAGAGTATGCTTCTTGCTTTAACAAAGTCTTAGTGAATAAAAATGTAAAGACTTTTTTGGGGGGACATGTTATAATCCAGTATGCCTTTATCTGGGGCCTCTGCTGCAGGCCGTCATTCAGATTGACATTCAGATCCCTGTTGGGATCATCATGTCCTTGGAATCTTATACTAAAGCCAGCAAGGCAGAGAAGGAGGAAGAGAAAGGAAAAGGGCATGGGGCAGGGCCAGGGGCAGAAGGGAGATTAAGGCATACATACACACAAAAAGAGAAACAAGATAAAAATGAATGGATGTTGAGGGATCTCTCAGGACATTTTCAATGGGCCAATTTGGGATTGACATTTGTGATGTCTATCTCTTCTGATTTGCCAAAACTTAGTCATATGGTTACAAGAGAAAGTTGGCTGATGCAATTTTTGTGTATCTAGGAGGAAAAGGAAAAATATTTACTACATATGTTTTCCTTTCTAGTATTTTTATCTTCCTTTACTTTTTCTCCTTTTTGACTATATCAGTTTCCTTATCTGTGTCTTACAGGTGCAGTTTTTATTCTTTCTGACATTAAGGAATTGTTTCCATCTTAAATGTGTACACACAAACACATACACACACATATATGTAAACATTTAAATAGCAAGGTATTTTCTATTTTTATATATTTCCAGCATCTTTGAAGTGATTAATTTTTCTCTAATGTTTTTTTCTTCTATAAAAACTTAAAGAGCCAGGTGCAGTGATGCACACCTGTAATTTTAGCTATTTTGGAGGCTCAGGCAGGAGGACCAAAATTCAAGACGAGCTTTGGCAACTTAGGGAAACCTAAGAAACATAGTGAGACCCTATTTCAGAACTAAATAATAAATAGGGATGGGGATATAACTCAATGAAAAAGCACCCCAATTTTTTAATCCTTAGTACCAAATAAATAGAAAAAGACTTATAGAAGAGAAATTCTATAATAATTTATCACGATGTTTTTTTCTTGCCAAATTGTTCTTGCCTTTCTGAATTGCATATTTGATCATGTGGATTATTAAATTTAATAAAAAGATTCAATTTTTAATATGTAAGAATTTTGGTGATTGATCTGGTATCAGAACAGTGAAATAAACTAGTGGAACAGTATAGAAAATATAGAGAGCATAAGAACAATGAGTAGATCAGTGAAACACTCAGGTTTATATGAGAATTTATAGTAAGAAAGGGTAGCTTTTCAAATCAATGAGGCAAAGAGTTTCTTAAAAGTTATAAATAATATTTGTATAATACTAGATTTTAGAAAGTTGTTCCTAGAATGACATCAAAGCCAGCATCTATAATGGAAAAATGAGAGCTTTAAGTTTACATAATTGAATTTTTTTATCAAAGCTCTGTAAATGAAGGGGACATAAAACAATAAAAAGTGGTGAAAAGGGAAAATATTTTCATAGGCTTAATGCCCTAAATATATAAGTAACTTCTATAAATCACCTAGAAGATATATAGTTCAATTAAAATGTATGCAAAAATACATCATAATATATATAAAAGATATATAAATTTGCATAAAAAGATACTCAATTTTATAATCAAAATTATAAGAACAGAGAGGTATTCTTTACTTATGTAGGCAATGATTTTAAGATGATGTTAGCCAGTGTAGGTGGGTTTTGAGATGTGCTCTTTCTATACTG